ATTATTTTATTTGAGTTATATAAAAGTCTAGTAAATCCATTAATTTATTTGTCTCATGAGAGTAATTGTAATAATAATATCTAATTTCAGGTAATAGTTGAATATATTCTATGGTAGCTCTTTTATCTCTACTAACCAATTATCAGATATATCGATTAAATGCATTTTTTATGCTTGGTGTAGTTGTGCTTTCTGAGCTGGATGGTTGAATTGAAAGCCTTCTATCGTTTTTCTAGACAACATGTTCAGCGCTAACATCAATTTGAAGCGGATTGAATGACTGTCTCTTCTGATCACCTTGAATGTCGTCAGTTGTTTCCTGGGATTTTTAATTCATGAATAATACCTCCACCATCCAAGCATTTATAAAAACACAAAGCCAGTATTTAATCGAAGAGGCTTTCATTAGAGATTTATCAGCTAGGAGGGAGTGAAATCATCGAAAACAGCTTGACTGAACTACTCTTTTTTGTTTAGCCTGAGATTTTTGCATCCTCTTGTCCACTTGTATGTTTATTTCACTGACTTTGATAGTTGACGTTTTATCCATATACTTTTCTTCTCACTCTCTGATAATTCTGATCTATGTCAATGTGTCTGTTGATTAATAACTCGTTTGAGCATCAGGATTCTACGAATTTCCTGCAGTGTCTTATCATTTTCTTTAGAAAATCTCCGAAAATAGATAATCACAATCAAAGTTATCAAGGTGAGGCGACTAATTAACTCATTGGGAATTCATTTTGAGATGACTTTTGAAGATCTTGTCTAGAAAGACAATCACTTTTGCCTTCCAGCCCAGCCCAGCATAACTTTACTGATACCCTCCACCTGGGCAACAAATTGTCACCATCAAAAGAACTAATTTTAACGTTTAAGTGTGAAGCGTCCACCTACTGATTTTTCTAAAAATAAGGTAAATAAGGTGTCTGGATTACATGCTATTATTGAACCAAGTATCGTAGTCATGTATATTCATAGTTCAAAGTAGACTTAGGTCTTAAGTTTAGCTATGTCTTAACCGAATGACGTCAAACTCTTTGGTATGTATTGGTTTGTTTTTGGTCTAAAGACAGTTTCATTCTAATATTCTGTTGAAAATGAATCGCCTGCCCTTTTTCGCTTGATTGTTTACTTGTTTCTTGAGATGCAAAACCTTCAAGTTTAAAATTTATATATTGCTTGACAGTTAACTTATTTTTACAAACATAATCTATACTGAGATGTGTACTCTGAAAATAGATTTTGGTGTAAATATGATAAATTAACCGGCATTGTAAAGTGTCCACTTTTTGTGACGAAATATCAGCTTTCAGTTAAGTAGATTAGTTATTCAGAAGACAAAAAATAATATTAAACAAACAACTTGATGGGCATTAATTTAGTATAATTTGGAAAATTTTATTTTAGAAATACAGTATTCACTTTTTGTATTTTATAAGTAGTAATTTGTTATGTAAAATTTATAACCGGTCAACTGCAAAATCAGTTCACAAAATATAATTCTGATGAAGACAATCATTTTAGAGTTTCCTGTTGACTGATTGAACTGAAGTGTTTGACCTCACGTTGACATGTAAGCTTCTTATGCATATACCTCGACGATGTCTGAGAATTTAACTTGAAGTAACTCTGCTGGAAAGTGATTGGCAGTGGATTCCAGGATAACGCGCGTTTCGTTCTATCTGAAACTCGTGATTTGGGTGGACCTGCATTCGCCAGTGAGTGACAGGGTTCCTACTAAGGCTTGTATCCAGTACTCACAGTTTCAAGCGTCAAAGTGTTAACTACTAGACCAATTGGGCCATGAGAGCCACCTCTTATGCAACGGGTATCAGTTATTATTTAATTCGCTTTGTACTTTCCCGCTGATTGATTAGACTGAAGTGCTTGGCCTTTGTTTGACATGTCGGCTCCTTGTGAGGATTCTTCGACAATGTCTAAGTCCTAAATAGGGATGAAATGCTCATCCTGAATTTCACTGCTAGTCACCACCCACGAAATTACTTCAAAGCAATCTACTTTTGTCTTACAGCTGAAGTTATTTTGTAATTTTACTAATATGTGTGGGAAGAATAATGTGACGTGTCAATGAGTCGGTGGCACAGCGGTAGAATGTTCACAAACCACGCATGTGATCCGGGGTTCAATCCCCGGCCGACTCCACCCCTTTACCTCGCTAAGCTGGTAATATACCTAGTATAGAGGGTAGAATGGGCATGAGCCTTGCAACCCCATCGAATAAAAGTTAATACCACTACTTCAAGAACTTCCAGCCCCTAGCTTGAAGCCCTATGTTTCACTAGGAACGTTAAGGAATAAAAAAACATCAATAATATGTTAAGTGGCTTACACACTAAGTGTTAGTGATGTATTAAGCTGGACAATTAACTGTGCAACAGCCGTTTTGATCTTTCAGTTTATTTAATTATGTTAACAGTGGGTATTTTCAGTGGATTACACTTTGAGATATGAATACTTTTCAAAAATATAAAAGTATTATGAAATTTCATAGTTTAGTTTCATTTAGCTTTATGCTTTAAAACACACATTCTACATGTTTGAAATACTAACTATGAAGTCAGATTTTGATATTTAAAACTTACCTAACGAAAAGACAAATAAATTCTTAAATAATTTTGATATGATTCTGTATAATAAAAAGAGTAGGTACTTATTCTGTTCTTTTTAACCTATGGCGTATTGTATAAAACAGTGATAGTTAAATCCACAAGAAAATTGCATCACATTGAACTGGGATGCGAAATATATAGTAATCTAGAGTTAACATATTAAAAAAAATAACTTCACAATAAATAAAAATTGTCAATTGGCAGATTAAGCGTGTAAATCAGATTTGCTGGGTTCACGTCTTAAGGAAAATAATGCCACAAGGGGATATAGATACATTCAGCCAATGAATCCAAAACGTGGCGAAGTGTTTATTTTATTTTCCATAAATATGTGTTTGGCTTTTCACAAGTGAACTAAAAGGTAATTTCCGCATCATGTGCTAACTACAACTTGTATGCAAGATCGTGCAAAAGTAAGAAGGATTGTAGTAGTAATAGTAGTAGTCATTATACAACAAGCAACACGCCATATACTTCCCATTCCATGGATCACACTTCACCATCTGATTCACTGGCTCAAAGCACGAGTTCGTGATTTCAAATACACTCAGCTGCTCGTGGAATGCCTTCTCAGCTGAGATGATCGGTGCATATGTCGTCAACGGAAAATGAATACGAGGATAAGGTACAAGGTTCGTCTGGAACTCGTTCAAATCCACATTCAACCATCCACTGAATCGAAGTGAGGCTGTTATCGAGCTCACAACTTGGCCAATCAGACGATTCAACTTCGTATATGATGGTCGATCAATCGTCAGATTTCGACGGCATATCTCGTAAATCGCCTCGTTGTCCACCATGAAAGCAGAATCTAAGTGCTCCAACGTCGTATGAGTCGTCAGGACTGAGTTATATGGCTCAACAACAGCTGTAGAGATATGTTGAGCGGGATATACTGCGAACTTTAGTTTCGCCTTCTTCGCGAAATCCACCGACAGCCGTTCCATCAGTAACGAGGTGAAACCTGAACCAGTATCACCTCCAAACGAATGGAATGTAAGGAAGTTTTGAGGACCAGTGCACCTCTCGGACAACTTCCGTATCCGATCCAACACCTCGTCCACCAGCTCCTTGCCCATCGTGTAGTGGCCACGCGCGTAGTTATTCGCCGCATCCTCCCTACCAGTAATCATCTGCTCCGGGTGGAATAACTGCTTGTACTTCCCATGGCGTAAACCATCAACCACCGTCGGTTCGAGATCCACAATGACCATAATTCAGACTTTTACACAGATAGATGTAATTAGTTTATATATATATATTAATGAAGCAGACACAGTCATATACCATTGGAAAAGGTGTAATTAGACATTGTCAGCCAAGTGAGAACAACCAACAGGATTAAAATAACGAATTAGACCATCATATGCACTTATAAAGTAGATTAGAAGCTGAACAGACGAGTCGATATGGTACTCTGTTTCACGAACACACTAAATGTGTAAATGTAAAAGTATTTACAAATCAACACAATCCTCTACTACATACTACTACTACTACTGTGAAAAGTTTAGAACATCCACTGGGACAAAAACTATTGCGAATTTTGTCTCTCATTGGAATACAAGTTTTAATGTTTTTATTTTTCTTGGCTGTATACTGCTTATTTCCAGAAATATTTTTGACAGAATATTTATAAGTGGAAATTATACTAGAAGCTAAGTTGTGAAGTATGTAACCCTTTTATTAAATGTACCACTAAGCACTGTTCATATGCTTCTTTTCAATATGAACCTAGTTGTGTTTTTTTTTCATCTCATCCACTCTTCTTCCCGTATTTGTAAATGCCTCTTGTTTGAGTTTCTAGTGTCTGGTGGTATAGGTAATTACCAACCACACTCCACCTTAATATATATATGTCAGTATTTGTTATCGAGCTATAACTCCAATCCTAACAAATTACCTTCTATTTAGTACACAAAAATATGTAGATCTAAACAGTTGTATTCCAGATTTGTTTCATTATCAATATTGAAGTTCAGGTAGTGGTATAACTATCCAATGTTAAAAAGGGGACTTTTTAGTATTGATTTCGGTGTTTCACTATATTTCAATTATGGAGTACATATAAGTCTCCGTAGAGAATCTCATTTTTTTATATGTCACTTTGTGACATAATCCAGTAGTGTATTGGAGAACAAAGTGGACCCGCTTTAAATTATCTTTAAGTATACTAAATCTATTCATCAAGAATGTATGTCTAACTAGTACACAAGGCTTTGCCTGTAGCTATTGGCCTGTAACAGTCATTTTTGTTTTCAATAATTTTTTTCTTCTTTATCTGGGTAAGCACTACAATACAGGTCTATATTTCCAAAGAATAGAGTCTCAGTTGTACTCACTTTTTTTGTTTTCTTCTCTGTATAGCTGGATAACGCCGATGAACAAGCTGCTCAAGTACGTCGTGAACTGGATGGTCAATTACAGGCAGTTGAGGAGTTATCAAGGGTAAGTAGTCAGCTTGTTATGATAAACGATATATTCATACCAATTTAGTGCAATGTTTAATTATCATTTGAAGTAATTACCAACCATTTATTTGACTACAGTTTCATGAATTCATAAAATTACATATTATTTGTTTATGGATTGTTGATACTAAACCGAAATGTTCGATCTCTACTGACATGTTGGTTTTTAGTACGGATGCTTCATTGATACTTAGGATTTAATGTGGAGTTATATCAGTTGATTTTGTCTAGCAATCGAATCCAGGGTGTATACTTTGGCATTTGGGACAATGCAGCCACATTCACACTGAGACGATCCTCACTTAGGACAAAAATACGCCTTCTAGATCCTACTGCTAGTCACCATCAACCGAAATTACACACTGTTTAGTTTATTTCCTTCAAGATGAAGGAATTTTAGAATGATTTAGTACACTTAACCATTTTGGTAGAAGATTTAATCTCTACTATGATCATTATTCACAGTATTGTAATTTTCCTGCAAGTTGAGAAGTTTTGTGTTATGTGAAGCTTAAATTTTAGCAAATTTTTAATCGTCTTGTGTTGTTTTTGACTGTGCCTGTGTATGAACGTATTCTATGAAATTCTATGAGTAAAAGAATCAGACATAGTGGATTTTCAGATATACTTTTTTTTTAAAAAAAACATACAAAACACTGTCTAGATTCTTCTTCTTTATACAGTTTCAATAAAAAAAACCAGTCATTAATTCATTCAGTTGATTTAATCACTTGATTTTCTTGTTTATTTGCTTGCTTGCTAGCTTGCCTTTCTTTTGCTTTTCCCCTCACCCCTCCACTCCACTGTTCTCTTTTTTTCCCTTTTTTTCTTGCTTTTTACATCTAACGTCATTACTTCCGACAAATGTTTCCACTAACTAGTTTTCCCTGAATGAAATCAACTCAATCCAGATTTTTATTGCTTGATTTTGTAACTTTCTTTAGTTTGCATCACTGATTTTTTTATTGTCGATGAACACGAGGATGAGGATGAGGATGTTGATGATGATGATGATGGTTGTAAATTAATTTCCTTCTTATCAAATGTCTACTCTTCCACTATATTTACTCTGTGACTGATTTTTTATATTTGAAACATACTTTCAGTGCTTTATAAGAAAATAAATAAATAAATAAAACAAATGGCCAGATGTTATTTTTTCCTTATGAATTTGTCCACTGCTTGTACAGTTCTCCTCTCCTCCAGCCGCCTAGCCAACCGGTCACCTTCCCCCCACTCTCGAAGCGAAAAAAAAATTTCTATTCATCTTTGTCTCTCACATTTATTGATGTTTAACTTTGTTGTTGTTGTTATTGTTGTTGTCGTTTTATTTTATTTTTTTTAAATTTTGTATTTTTTGTAGAACCGTCAATTCCCTCGTTTAGTTGTCAAAGATATGGAGAGTTTATATGCTGATGAATTACGTAAAATGGTTGGGGAATTAATGTTACGATTAGAATCTGTACCTGTGACAAGAGGTTCAAGTAGTTTTCAAAAATTTAAAAAAGTTAGTCGTTCACAAACATCCGGTACAAATTCACCAAGTTTAAATTATAAAGAGCATAATGATGAAATCAGTGAAACAAATTTTAAAAATAAAATTGGCATTCAATTGAATTTTTCCTTAGAGGTGAGATCTTAGTTGTTGTTTTTAAAAAAAATAAATTTGTTAATAGTGCAATAGCATTAAATACTTTTGAATATTTATAAACAGTGTATTATAAGTTGAATTGAATGTATCATGATTCCGTTTGATTAGTTTTATTCTTTTCAATTCTCAGAGTAAATTCTTCGTTGACTGTAGATTCTTTACAGTTATGAGTATGAAAAAAAACACCCACAAAACACAATGAGTTTGATTATTATTATTATTGCTCCCTTGGGTTCCTAGTGGAACATAGGGCTTCAACTGCACGTCTCTACTTGCTTCTTTCTTGCTTCTGCTGTACCTTTCACCTCCATCCATGTTAGTCCATACTCTTTCAACTCCTCTTCATACCATCTCCTCCATGTCACCCTTGCACTGACGTCCCACTCGCCGCCGCTTCCCTTTCGGCTTGGTTCCACTCGAGAAATGGCCTGACGCGCGCGCGATGTCACCCAGCTGTCTCCTCTTCAGCCAGTGTCCAATCCATCTCAATCCACTTTCTCCTGCATTTTTGTTGGTTGACGATTGGTTTGTTCTTGTTTTGTTTGTTCATCGCCATAGTTTCTTGTTGGTGATTCTTTCCGGCCCGGCCATCTGATCTGATCTTCAGTATAGAGCCAACGAAGACAGTTGTTGGTTGATGAAGGTCTGCAACAGGCTGTTGGAAATATTCTTTGTGACCCACACGCCCGCCAAGTTTCTGATCCGTATAGAAGAACTGACTGACTTGACGTTGTTTGTATTGAAAATTCGACCGAATTTTGTTGTTGATGATGGGTGAGTGATGAAGATTTCCAGATTGATTTCAGGTTGATGAATGTGTTTCTCGCTCGCCTTCCCGATTCTCGCTCGATTTGGCGTCCTCGCTCGTTCCGACTGTCTGTATTTGAGACAATGCTCCCTAGATAAGTGAGTGAGTGAAGTGATCTCTTTCAAATCCCTCCCGTTGATGGTGATTTGAGCTGGATGTTGGTGCTGTTGTTGTTGGTTTGTTATTTTGATAACCTTTGTCTTGTCTAATGCTGGTAAAATTCGGACAACATTAATTACTGCCACAATATCTTTAAGGACACAGTGGCATTCTTTTTCTATTAATCATTTTAAAGCTAAATATCCCCATAATTTATTCAGAACAAAATATTTAGAGCGAACAATTGTTTTCAATACATTCTTCTTCAGGCTCTACAATTATAAATCCATTAATGTAAGCATACAATAGGCAGTAAAGGCGAATTAGAATCATATCAGAAAGTGTATTGTGGAACAAGTATAAGATGGGATGAAACAATAGTCATATAGTTTTTTTAATATGCATGGTCAATAACAACATGGGACATGTTGTCCCATATTTTGTTCATCTTAAAGCTATCAGAACTCTATCGCTTAGCTTATTTTCTCCGGATGAAATAGTGTTTGTTGGTCTTCCCGATGATATCCGATAAATGATTGATTTGTTTTTAAAATGTTACAAGGTAAAATCTCAGCCAAGATAGATTGATGACATATTTAGCTATCCTGTCCTTAATTTGATCGACATCTATTTATAGAGTGCACAATAAAGTAAGTGAGCTAAGTTTTACAACACTGCTGAATAATGTGATGGTCTGTAAGTCCATATCGACTCCTGATATTGTTTTCTACACTTTGACTCTTGCCGACATGCAACAGCTTAAAAGTTCTAGGCTGGTCTTCACTAAAGAATTAGTGTTCACCAGGAGAATAAAACAGCATGAAAGAAACAGGCTGGGATGATCATATGGCTCACTGGCCTAAACACTTAGCTGTCATCCAGTAGATCCTACGCTGGAATTCCGCGCCGTCTGCGTCATTTTGAGAAACTGAGAAGTACCTATTACCCTTATGCAGTTTAACTGAGAAAAATAAGTTTAACCAAGCTACTTTACACCTTTAGCACTATGGATTCGTTTGGTTTTTCTTTACACTCTTGAGATAAGTTTTGTTTGGAAATAAAGACATCTGAAGGCTTTCTGAATCTAGTTGATACTGTTTGAGCAAAATCACTTTACATCATGTGTGTAGCTGTGAGAGTGGATGAAGTGATTTTAAGTACGACAAACGTCAACACTCGATAAATAACCTTATTTTAAACTGTCATACATTTATTGCTCGTTAGAATAAATGAAGAGGTATTCAGTTCATATAGTATTTGATAAGAATGTTAGATAGCTGTGCTAGGTGGCTAGCTATCATGGTGGGCTCACAAATGTTGTTATCATATGGTTCGAGGCACTCAGCAGGAAACCTTCTAAGTTTAGTGCTAGCTGGTACTCATCAGCAAGGCGTATCTGGAGGTCGGTCGCGAGCCCGAATAGCCAAGTGGTAATGACTCTGAATCCAGCACTGGGGGTGACGTGGGTTCGAATCGCAGAAGAGACATGAGTTCCTTCAAGCTTGCAGATACGCATTGCTGACTGTTGAGTGTCAACCAGCACGAAGCCTAGGTTAGGCAAGGCGCCCTGCCAACTGCCTTCAACCATCTGATAGCAAACTTATAATCTCTTTGCTCATCTTTTCTACCCTTGTTTACCCTTTTTCCCATGACTGATGTTATTTTGATTATCTTCAACATATTTCTATTGTTTTATAAAAGAAAATCCTTTTAACCATATGTTCTCATATTACACTGGTATAAATATATGAATACTCGATTGAAATACATTTCATTTTAATTTGTATAAAGGAATGTATCGAAAGTCAATTGTCTTCTAGTTTGAGCACTCAAAACACTAATTGTTCAGCAGTGGTTAACACTAGGTTCTAGGTTGCATATGTAATCACCTTTGATACTCTACAGTTAAATATATCTATACTCCTAAATGACTGAATGACTTATCAGTGTCGAACTTCACTCAAAAGTTATCTGGTTCAAGTTGAAATGCTTCGGGCAAACATTCATAAAGTGTAGAAGAAGAAATTTAAGATGTGTGTGTGAGAGAGAGAGATTAGTTCTAAGGATTTCATATACCTCACCAATAGTCATCAACGTTATGGATAAGTGCTATATTGTTGTCTGACCACGTTGAATTGTTTTCCAACATATTCACTTATCAATTGACATTACTCACAGAGGAGAACAGTGGCTGGGCATGCTTAACGCACATCTTAGCTATCTCAATCAGCACAACTTTGCAAAATCGTCAACTGGTTTTCTTACCTAATATTCTTGTGAAAGATGTTGTTTCCGTTTAGTCTTTGACCCTTCATCCAACATTTCAATCAAAAAGCTATGCACTAATTAACTGGCATGATATATTGTAATGAAGGTGTCATTTTTTTGTTGTTTTATGGTTTATTATTTGTTATAAAAATAAATCCATATGATGTGTTCGTTTGGACGCCTGAAATCCTCAAATGAATTCTTATCTGGAAAGGAATACCACTGATAGTTATCACCAGACTAACAATACTAAGGCAGCTGTTCACGAAGCCTGTACATGTAAAGAAATAATACGAATTAATTAGGGGAAATTAACCAAAATAAAGTATAAACAAATAATTGTACATTAGAAGTTCCTATATCTAATGAACTGTTATTCTTAGTTTAAGTGCATGCTATTTGTGGTAAATTTTAAATGATGACTTCTAGTTAGAATGTCGTGACCAGCAGGGTACAGCAAGTCGCGGGTGAGGATAAGTACTCGCCAATGACATTCTCTAGTGGTCACGCTATGTCATGAATTGGCAGAAGCTGGAATTCATTGGCTGCCTAGCCATTGAATTAGGTCCCAGTAGCTGAGTGGTCTACAAGCTCGCCTTGTAGTCAGAAGGTCCTGGGTTTAAACCCTACGGTGTGATTGTGTATCGATGAAGAGTCCCAAACTAGGATGAAACGTCCATTCAGTACTCCTAGGTTTTTCAATGGTTCTCTAACTGATGTCAGCTCATGATGAAATCCTGTGACCAATTAGTCAAATTCCTACAAACTAATACTGGAACTTATTAAATTACTTGGTTTGATTAACTCGTTCGTTCAGATGGTTTGCACAGTTTGCGTGTAAGCCTAACCTCTGCCTGTTATAACTCACGCTATTAGTTAGAACACGAATATAATGTATTCAGATTTTAATGATGTCAAATCTAGGTTTGATACTAATTCATGAAGTATATACTGGATGCTTAAAACCATGTAGAAAACTGTAGGTTAGTAGATTTTAGATAACAGAAAAGATCCTCTTTGTAAGTATTTAAACAATTTTAGACGGAATTTCAGTCTTAATATTAGACGATTCAAGGTAACTGGCAGATTGCCTCGCGCCTAGGTTTGGGCCTTGTTTACACTTATTAGCAAGGCATGTCTGCGATCTTGAAGTAATTCATGATGACCCCGTTGAGATTCAAGTGTACGCCACGCAGTGTTGCAGTCTTAAAATCACAATGTGGTGTAAATATTTCCAACTCAGACTATAGATGTTCTTTTTTTGGATATTTTATTTTCCGTAAATCTTTCGATGTCATTGAAAACAACACAGTAATTAGACAAAATAATATAATTTGCAAAATATTTTGCAATGATTTCGAGTTAAGTCAACTACATAGGTCAAACTTGTAGATCCGGGGGTTAGTGAGATTGTCAGAACGTAAGAATTTAGCTAAGGCTAGAAGGGTTGACCCTCGAAGATAAGTAATTTAGTAGTTCAGTAATAGCACTGCATACACTAACACGCAACCACACAATATAGTGGGACAGAGTTAAAATTCTAAAAAGTAATATAAGTAGGTGGAGAGAGAGGTTGGTTATTGAATCTTTGTTCACCGAATCTACATCCAATACGTGTAATGGTAATGACTCATCACGCATATCGGAAATATGGAAGGCATTACTACCAATCAAATGAAGAGATGAGAATTAGTGGAATTATATAAACGAAGTTTGAAAGTTGTGTGTGAATAACTTGAAATGATTGATTATGAGCAGTAATAAATTGTGCTCGAAACGTGGTCATCAGTAAATATTACACTGA